ACTCTTGAAAACATGGCCCGCAACTGGAACCGGAACAACTAGAAAAAACCAGTGGAGAATTGTATTGATTCACATGTTTAATACTGCAAACATCGAGAATGACAAAAGAGAAAAATTGGCGTGTGAAAAACAAAAAAGGTTTTGTTCTACTTTTTGTCAATAGGGTCCTTTCTTCCTGCGGCATAGTAGCTGAAGTGTGTTGCTCACCTTCAACTACTATGTCACGATGACTTGCTGTTAACCGCTGATCTCCATGGCTATTATTGGCCCCATGCCTAGTTGCTAGACAGCTGAGATTACATACGTACATACATGCAAATATGTATGAGTTTTATTTTAACAGTACCGTGGTTAACGTCCAGGTTGCCTTTCTTGGCTGGACCAGGGAGCACTTATGAGTCACTCGAGACCCAAACGAATCTGTCGCTTACAAGCGGTTCACTCAATCTTCCTCCATCAAAGACACAACGTCAAACACTCCCAATGCGGTGCCAAACTGCAGAGGCAAAGAGTATGCGACATTACAGACATTTATGTCTATGTGATGTGCCAGGTTTCGCAACTTCACAGCAGGGTTGAAGGCACATGTGCACTAAAAACTGCACTTCAGGATAAGAGTAATGCCGCGCCAGGGCCAGAGGTGGTAAAGATCGGAATAAGTGCCTCGAGCTTTTGCAATACGACTCCTGATGTCATCGCATATTCCACATACGCTAGTATAATCGCCTAGATAGCTGAATTTCTAGACGCCTTCTAACTGATCAATGCGAGACCTCAAGGTGTAACAACGCTAACTGGCCAGTCACTTTTACTGAGCTACACTTTTAATACAATTGATCATTTTGACTTAGTACGTCAATGCAAAAGTGCTTTGTGTAACAACGCCGCCGAACCGTACATTTCTGCCGTCCATTTGCACACACGAAGCATCCGAGGTAGTGCTTCATGTAAATACGAAGCCAAATTAGTGACCATATTTTGCCACAAAAAGAAATAGTGCATTATTATATGATAACGACGTAGAAAGGTGTAAGCATCACCTTACACTATGGATTTCAGAAGGGACGTTCTTGCAGCACCAATCTGCTAGTCTCAAGAGAAAAATGGACAAGATCAATCGATGCCGGTCAACTATTAGATACTGGCTGTCAATTTTAGCAAAGCATTCGATAAGGTCCCACATTAACGGCTACTATGCAAACTCTGCGAAATTGGTGTCAGTGGCAACCTTTACTGTTGGATCGCAGATTTCCTAGACGGAAAAAGCATGCAAGGTGAAGGTAAAGGAGACACTCAGCCAGTGCACATGACTAGTGGAGTAAAGCAAGGTTCAGTATTTGGGCCAAAACTATTCAAGCTCTTCGAAATGAATATCTACTAATCTATGCAGATGACCTTCAGCTAGGGTCTGAGGTACCCGACCTGGATGTCGCAGATTACAAAACTTGCTAGATGTACTACACCAGTGGTTCGTAAATTGGGGCTTACCCATCAAATATGAAAAATGGTGCGTCCTTCCAGTAGTTGCGTCTGAGCCACTCGGGATCTATCATTTTGGTTTTCTTCTCAAGAATTCTGCTCGAGAGAAAGGCCTGGGTGAAATAATTCCTTCTAACCTAAAGACCACCCAGGATACGCTGAGCGGCCGCTGCTAACAGGGTGTGCTGCGCCACAAGGTCATTCTCCCGAATGACACCGGATATCTTAGGACCCTTTTTCTCACGTACGCCCAATCATAGAGTATGGCTAGCCAGCTGGTTTTCAACTCCAAATTGGAATGTACCCTTATTGAAAGGGTCCAAAGACGAGGCTCGAAGTTTGTTCCTGGACTTCAACATCAAAAGACCTGGTGTTTGTGAAACCATACGTGACGAGAGTGGACACAACTTGTCAAAACGCTTGGAGCGTTGGACTGAGCACTTTGGAAGGCAATTTAATCGGTCGGAATAGTTAGATTTCTTGCCGGCACCTGATCGCCCCGTTCCGTGGGCTGTCCCTTTGAAACCACCTTCTCGCTCAGAAGTCGAACGTGAGACCGGACTGTTGAAGTTAAATAAAGCCGCGGGACCAGATGACCTTCCTCCATCCCACTTCAGATTCGGGGGACCTGCTCTTGTGGATAATTTATACGAGTTACTAGTGTAACTGTTTGAGCAGGAAACTGTCTTAACCGACTGGAGCCGACCCATCACAGTCCTAATTTTTACGGGAGGCCCACGATCGGAATGCTGCAACCATGAAGGAATCAGTCTGATCTCCACCGCCTCCAAATTGCTTGCCTGTCATCTTTCACAGACTAACTGACACGCGTGAAAGCCAGATTCGTGAAGAGCAAGCCGGGTTTTGTCGAGGTTGTAGCTGCAGTAACCACATCTTCAATTTGTGTCAGTTGTTGGAGCACCGTCACATATATTGGCGGCCCACCATTGTCATGTTTCTCGACATTAAAAATGCATTCGAATCGGTGAATAGATTTGCACTTGGGACTGTCTACTCGGGAATGGTGTACCTGAGAAATATGTGAATATTATCCGAGCATTATATGTGCGTAGCTCGGGCAGAGTGAGGGCTTACGGCAAGTTGTCGTCGCCCTTTAATATCTCCAGCGGTGTGAGACAAGGATGCCCGCTTTCACCTTTCCTCTTCAATTTCGTTATTGACGAAGTCAAGTAAATAACGTTCACATGACACGATTTAAAAGGTGTGGATCTGCTCCCAGGAGAATGACTTCTTGACTTGGAGTATGCTGACGATATTGCCCTCATCTGTGACAGCTCCCAGACGCGCCAAGCGACACTGGACAGATTAGCACTGGCTGTTAGCGGCTTCTGGCTTTGCTTTGCACCCTCGAAGTGCAAAGCGTTCCCCCAAGATTGGCCTGGACCGCCTCCGTTGCTGACCCTTGGTGAGGATCAGATAGAAGTCGTTCAGAAATTCAACTACCTGGGAAATGGTATCAGCGTCCGTGGGATTGAAGTTGAGATCACGAACCGTATAACAAAAGCTCGAGGCGCTTTTGCTAACCTTCGCCACCTATGGCGCCGGCGCGACATCAATCTTGCCATGAATGGTGGAATGTACAATGCAGTGGTACGCTCGACCCTACTGTACGGCTGCGAAACCTGGCCCTTAGATCAGCAGACGTGAAGAGGCTAGTTACGTTAGACCACCGGTGCCTTCACAATTTAGCTCACATCTGGTGGGAACACCGCGTGAGCAACGAGCGTGTTCGACGCCTTGTTTACAGCACAGGAAAAGGAAATGAACCGCTCATCACGGTTATTTCACGCACCAGGCTCCGATGGCTCGGCCACGTGTTACGCATACCAGCCCACCGACTCCCGCAACGTGCGTTGTTCGCGCGCCGGGGGTGCGAATGGAAGATGAGTTGGGGTGGTCAAGCGACGACTTGGTCGAGAGGAATGAAGGCCCTTTCTTCGGAACTGGCCTCGGTTGCAGCGTCTCGGCTCCCCGGTTGAGGTCCGAAAGACGATGAACACGTTTGGCTGGATACACTTGCTGATATGGCTAGGAGCCGACCTCAGTGGCGTACATGCTGTGAATTTCTCTGTCCCACCCCATTCCCCTTAGACTCCCCCTCCAATCACGACCTCATTATTTAGCAGTTTATAACTTTCATAGTAAATTATCTTTTTTCCTGCTGCATAGTAGCCGGCAGGTAGCTTCCCGGAACGATGCCCATCCGTTACAGGTAGCTCAGCTGGCATGCACCTGATGCATTTTATTCCTTTTGCTGTTGGTATTGCGGCACAGTAGCTGTTTCCCACCTCTAGCTAACCTGTATAGTGTCTGGACTTCAGAACCTCTCCTGCCAACTTCGGTTCCAGCAGATGAACCTTTTCTCCCTGGACTACCGTCGCCACCGCAAGGGCCTCATCTTCACCAGGCGCATACTAAGGAGGGAACTTGCAAACAAACTACAAGTTTTTCTAACTCAATATAAGTACGACACGAAGTCACGACTTGAAACTCTAAACCGAAGTGGCTGCATGTTCAATCTGCTGCCGTCCTATCCGCTTGGGTGATAAACAACTAGAACCGCCTTTCAGAGAACGTTAACAATGCAGTCTGAGGAAGTTTTAAGCAGCTCTTAAACTCCCACTGCACTGTTCTACTGTGACTGTTCCAGCCCAATAGGGCTGCTGGTCGCAATGACACATGCTCTTGTTCTGAACCGGAGTTGATGGGGTTGACATGGGATCTCCCCTTACAGCAATGAACTCAATGAATGAACGGCCCACATAACACGAGTGATAGCGGAACGACCTGAGTGACCCCTTTTCCTGCCCCTGGACATCCTAGTTGAACACATTTGGGACGATTTGCGGCAACACAGCAAATTCTTCAGCGCACCCTTTGGCTGCAGTTATCAGCGGCAAAAAATAGTGTAAAGCTTTGCCGAAATTGTAATTACACAATACGAGAGTCGTGATGACAAGCGGAAAATGGTTTTGGTGACCGAAATACGTCTCAAATGAATTCAAGCGGGAGGGTCAGATGCATAAAAAACGGTAACTCACGTGTAGTGAAATCAGGACTTTATTATAAAGTAGACGGTAGTGTTCGGAATGCATAATAACATTACACAATGTATCCGGACATATTAAGCCATACATTTTTATTTTCACTTTTGACTCCGCGAGCGACCAAAAACACCAAAATAAGACAGCCGGAAGTCTATCCGTGAAGACATGGGATGTCTTGCGTGTACTCTTAACGGATCGTAGCGCCGATTCTTATATGGACATTTCTTATGCAGTGTTACATAATTGGTTGAACTATATTGAAAAATTCTTATCGAGACCCACAAAGCGAGAAAACTGAAGTTCCTAGCGGTTATCAAGAATGGCCGCTTTCACCGTCCCCTACACAGCAATGCTGCGCAGAAACCAAGGTAGTAACGGCCGCGCATAAGACGAGCACGGCAAAGCGAAAAAAGGACTGACAATGATTTCTGGTTAGGGGACCAATTCGCTTACCAGTGCTTTGGGGAGCTTGACGATGTCATGGTAATCCAGCAGAGACAACGCGGCAAAATGTCGTTGGACGCTGTCACGAGGAACCTGCAAATGGACAAGCTTATGAGGCACAAAATAATCGCGCGTACCTGTGGTGTTGCCAACTCATGTGTTTTGACACTGAGTACTATAGGCCTCCATGGCACGGGCTTGGTACAACGATTACAGTTGCATTCGCATAGCCAACATTGGCTCTGTTGACAGCTTGTATTAAGGGCATACGATTCCACTAATGCGCAGTGAGCAACACTGCATGTGAGAAAAGCATAACTCCGGTGGCGTGCTGTTTAAGTCCAAGCATATCGCGGACGGTGTACGTCAAGTAAACGCAGCGGAGCCTTAGGTGTGGTGAGATGCAGGCAAGTGCGTCTTAAGACATTTACAGAGCATTTATGCAAGAGACGATGTTAGAGCCACCAGCTGAACCGATTGCCGAATGGTCCGACCGATGTTCTCACACGACTAATGCTGCTCTGGATTGACAAGGGGAACCACAATGCAATGGGACGGAGGGTGGCCCTAGGAAGGGTCGGTTTATCGTTCCCGATGACGAAACCGATGTTTGACGTATTCGAACTAACAGGTAAAAGAGCCAAACAAATTCTTATCGTCGTCGTATGCAGCGCACTCTGAATGACAACAACCATTGCACCTGCTGCAAATGATCCAGTCGACCAAATCTTCCTTTGCTGTTGGTCCCTTGTCTCCCGCGTACGAGATGAATGTTCTCATGTATCAATGCTGCTACCTTTGGTTTTTGTCCTGCACGCTAAGGAAGCGGTGTTCGGGCGTCTGAATGTTGGTGAATGAGACGTGGATGGTAGAGACGACTCATGAATTCGAGGTGACAGAGACTGCTTCCGCTTGGTTTTCTGCCGTTCAGTTACGGGAGGTGCAGGAAATTCCCTCACATTCATGTGGTAATCACTGTGGCAGACTGCACGGTTGCTGTTCACAAGTTGTTGGAGGTAGCTTTTAAGAAAGCTCTCTACCTGCAGGAATGCGTTGGTCTCTAGGCTGACCATTTGTGTTAGTAGGCCATCAAGCAATCGCTTGGTTCGGGACAACTTGTCCTCACGAGTCAAAGTACGAAACGCCGTCGAAGCTGTTGGCAGCGACAAATGATGCGCGGGTGGTGTCAGAGGAGACCTCTCTCGAACCTCGCAGTTCTCTCTCCTTACGCGTTCGTCGCCATTTCCCTGTAGAAGCTCAGGAACCACATCGACGTCGTTTGCTCTGGGCACTCCACTTAGCCGAGTACGAATCGACCGTATATCATGCCTACTAAGTCGCTTATGATATCGTTCATGAACGTAACACTGTAACCCCCTTATATTCTCGAATGAATGCATCAGCTCAAAGACATCTCGCTCCGCCTCAGGTGATAATCGCCGGTTCCCAACATATAGGCTTGGATTCCCAATGTGAAAATTGTGGTTATGTACCACATTGTACTTCCCAATCTCGTAAGAAGAATCCTTAACCCGAATCGCTATGCTGGCCTCACATCCAAGTTTGGCATACCTACATAACATTTGACACCAATTATACATTCGCTGGACTTACCGCTTTCCGCCCTTTCCCCTTCTGTTACAGTGCACACACCGATATTGTAACCACTTGTACCGGAAACCATCAGGAACAACCTGGCCTGTTTTTTTCTGATAAGCACTGGCAGTTAAAACATCATATCTGTAGAAGCAGGTAGCTGTTTGTAGTTGAAATTCTTTTAGCTGCGCCTCAAAGTCTTCCAATGTTTTATACGGACCACGAAACACAGCACGGAATATAGCAGTGTCGTCGACGGCCATTATGGAACGACCATAAACACTGCGCATTCAAACAAACACAAATTACTACCTACAGCGCCAAACAGTCTTGGTGGCATGTGTCGTCGTGCATACTAGTAAGCTACGGTTACATCGGTAACCGGCTAGACATTCTGAATAGAGCCGAGGTAGTGATTCATGTTATCACGCACGTTACTCGCTATCACACGCGTTATCAAAATATGATATTCCCATAAATGTTTAATGTTGCCTTCCGGTCACATACGAATTGTAGAATTGAACAGAGACTTGAACCAATAAGAATAAAAACCTTTATCTCAACGGGTCCAAGGAAACAAGTTATGGCGGGACATTCAACTTGGACGTGTGTAACACAAATGAAGGCACACTGGTTCGTTTAAACCATATGTTATTTTTAGTGCCCGTTTTATACCTTTCTTATCTTGGTGTGTATCGTATTCATGACGTAGGAAAGGATAAAACCATCACCGCGTCTACCTTTGCCAAAGCTACTTGTTTTATCTACGCTTGTACCGAAGAACACTTGCTCCTGTCGTGTCGCCAAATACACGTGTTTCCGCTCTGTTCGTTCATTCTGGTATTCGCCTCATCGGAGCATCGCCGTCGAATATGCGTTTACAGTTCGGTTGTTGAGCTTCGCTTAATATTCGCTTATATTCGTCAGTCTTTGTCGGTACCACGAACCTGCGCTACGGAACATAGTACACTTGCATCATAAATCCTATGCTGAGGATTCATTAACACATGCTTTTTGGTTCTGCATTAAAGCATTCTATGTCAAAAGTATAAAATATTGTGTTATGCAACTAGATCAGGCGAGGTCACGTTCCAGGTAGAAATATTCTCGGGCTTAACCAGCTTCATGTTTAGTGTACCGGCAAGAAAACCAGGGTCTCCAATACTTCAACTTTGAGGCTGCTTCCTTTGCCTGTGCAAAAGAAGTGAGATGGACAAGGGCAACCAGTGTATTTTCTTGGATCAGAGCCTACTAGGTCAGGCATTTGTCAGAATAATCGAAGCTGGCCGCATCCCGGTTGCAAGTAAAGTTTGAACTGTCAAACCGGGATACAAATGTCGGCTAGAGCCCGCGCTTTATCGCCCCATCTGCTTGACAGTAATAATACTTAAAGTAATGGAACGGATTATCAAGCGAACTTTCCGGCTTGATCTGGACGCTTTCTTCTCTGGCGCTTAGCATGGGTTTCGGATAGCGCGCTTGTGTATCTTAAAATTGCTCGCTGCCATAGAAATGTATGCGAACTCATTAGACGATGGCAAACGCGATTATGTTGTTTTTGTTGCTTTCAGCAAAGCTGTTGACATGGTCCCGCTCAAACGGCTCCTTTCCAAACTCCAAGGAATTAGTGTCTGGGACCTTTATCTCTCGGCTCTCTGAGTTCCTGGAAGGTCGTGCTATGCAGGTGATGGTGAATGACGTTTGTTCTGTATTAGTGAGTTTGACCAGTTGTGTTCCGTAAAGGTCAGTCTTTGGGCTTGCACTCTCCGAAAGATTCATCAAGGACTTACCCACTACGTTTTAGGTTGTTTGTTTAATCTATGGGGATGAGCTAAATCTGTGAATTTTGGCGACCAGTCTGATGATGCCCAGTAAGTACAATCGTCGGTTGATCTACTAAAGGACTTGTCATCCAAGTGGCCATTGCCATTGAATCGCGATAACTGCTCCGTTTCCCAATTGACTCTTTTGGACCGTTCGGAGTTGATCATGTTGGTGGGTTCTTGTTAGAAATGCCTGTAAAAAGAGGGAGCTTGGAATTCTTCAGTCTAATGACCTTCAATCAAGTCAGGACACCTTGAAGAGGGCAGCCTCTGCCGTCAGGATGTTCCATATTACACGAAGAGCCTACACCCGATTGACGCCATATAGCTTCAGGCTTCTAGTTGCCTCCAGGTGAGACCGAATCTTAAATACGGGTATCCTAGCACCCTTCCTCCCACAGCGACTGGATGCAGCCTGATTGAGAAGGTTCAGCGACGCGGACTGAAGGGTTCACAGAGTTGCGGCATGTCTCTTTTTCACTTCGGCTTCAGTGCATAAAGCTTTTCTCTATGGATTATCGGTGCTGCCTTTGGGAACTCCTTTTCTCTCGATGTATTCTAAGAGATCTGCTGGGAGCTGTTCTTCATGAGTTCGTTTGGCGGAACTCCCGAGGTTTGACTTGTAGGCTCAGCTGACAGCCGTTTAAACCTCGGACGCTTCGAGTAAACACCAAACTTGCTGTCTACTCAGACGATTAACGACTAATAATTCGTACCCCAACAGGTCGCCGAGGCGCACATAGTGGAGTATAAACAACTGTTGGGTTTCCAATTGATGAGTATGCCGGGTCCTGCTGTTTTCGATGCGACCGCACGACCCCTTATAGAACCCCATTCCTCAACGAAGCAAGACGTCCGCACGGCGATCGGGAAGTGATGAAGCTGATAAACGGCCTACCTTCTGCTCGCTACCATCCGACGAATCCAAGTAAACTTACAATACTCCCGGGATAAAATCCCAACAACAGTTATCCGGGTATTGTTGAAGATGTTGCAGCGGTACTTTCAAGCAACGCAGAAAGAAACGAGTTCCAACTGTGAACGACACAGTTCGTTACGACTTTGGTTCCAATTTCTAGCCTAGCAAACTGGTGCCAGAGCTTTCGTTCAATTCCCGCAGGTGGCCGGATGCAGTCCATCCAAATAGGTTGCAAGGCCTGCTACCAACGCTGCTCATCAGAATTTTGAACCTTTCTAACAGGTTGCTTCTCAAGTTGCTCTCTTGAACGGAAAACAACCCTGAATTCCTTAGGCGTTCACCCTAAAACTTCCCACGCAACTTCGTCAAACGAACAGGTGGCGGGAACACAACTACTTGATGCTATGCATCAATTCTACCAGTAAAAGCCATTCATATATCACATTTTTATCCTTCCGAGCATGCAATAACACCTTTGGATGTGTTAAACCGTTTTGTAATTAATCCGTTGCTCTATAAAAATAATTCTTGCGGCAGGCCTAATCCCTTGCAAAAATGTGGAACTATAGTGTCAGTACCCAATGTATAACATATCTGAGCTCTGAAGGGTCACCTGCTTCAGACCTCTCCCAGGTTTCTGAGCTCTAAATGATCTAGACTCCGCCGATTCAATGCTCCGTAACCCTCACGTCTACAGCTTTACTGGACACGACCCCATCCTTATTACTGGATCTCATTTCATACTTAACATGCTTATTTCTGCCGACCCCCTCTGTTGGATTTCCGAATTAATATTAAGGCTTAAACTCTATGGGTCAATACTCTAATCGTCTCTCAACGGTCTGAGGTTATCCGACAACTGCTACCTTACCAACCATAGGTCTGCTCACATAAACTCCAGAACGTCGTTGGCTTTTCCACTTCTCCTAAATATAGTCTTTTCCTTCCCAAAGCTATGCTTTCTCTTTTGCTCACACTGCCTTCCTTCATCGCTTGACGTTGACTTATTAGTGTCCGTCGGTCACTGACTTCTTGCCATCCCACTAATTTAGGACTCCGAGGCCACTTGCCGCTGTCACCCCTTCGGAGCGATATTTGCTTCCATATTCAGCCTATCTCGTCTGTCGCAAACTGGCCTCCAACAAATTGGACATATTTGTATTAGGAAACTGCAAACTTTATGCCTCTCCCTCTCCAGCCTTATTTTGGAACACTCTTCTATCCTCTACCTATCCGGTTTCTGCTCGCTACTCATTTTATTTCGTCCCTTTTATGGAGCTCATGTTCATGCGATGGTTAAATAACCTTTACGTGGTATAGGGGTACAATAGTTCAAAATTGTTGTAACTGGTCATGTGTTGGGCTGCCTACGGGACAATTTCCTTTCGCCATTTATATTGCTGCCTCTGTTCGTTGCGTTTTTTCTAGTGGTTGGCACAGATACAATGCCAGACACCCGAGAAATTGTCCATCGCTGCCACCCAAATGGTACAATACGAGGCGCACTGTTGCTTTGCCTGGATATGGATCGGAGATTATCCACCGTTGTTACAACTTACCGACTGGACAAATTATCGCTTGCTTGCAAGAATACAAGTTTCCGGAGGCCTGAACAATTGAGCTTAGTTCACCTAACAACATCACTTTCACACACCTATTACCTGGAGCCCTCCTGTTGGCATTTAAATAAATAAATAAATAAATAAATAGTATATTCTCGAATTTCCGCGACACACCTGACCAGGACATTTTATTTGATTAGGATGACATATCTCCCCGCTGACGTAATATACTTCTCGATTGGACAAACCCTGATTCAATGCAAACATTCATTAATGCCAGAACAATTTGGTTCGACCAGTTTTCGCTCCGGGATAATTGCTTTCCACTTACCAGTCAATCGGCACTCTTCACGCCGCTTTCACCATTCAATTGGATTTGGGTGCTTGTATTTCCAATGTATTTCAGTACTTAAACCGAGAGGATCTTAGGTTGGTTTTTCGGGATAAATTTTGCTCTTCTTCAGGGCCTGAACAATTAGGTACATCATGCTTCAGCGCCTAAACAAAATGCCCTACCTGGAAAGCACTTTATTTCCCCCGGAGGGTTCATGTGGTGCTGCAGGTGATCAACACATTATATTCAAAGAAAAAAAATTCATGGACTACCTACCAAACGGACCCGGCGATTGGGTCACTACAGGACAGGACGCAGAGACGAAACAGGCACTCGCCAAACATGCCTCAGCTGACAGAAGAATGGATGCATCTTGAATGGGAATATCCGAGCAAATACTCGCTAGACGTGATGTATAGCCAGTTACAACTTGCCATTCAACGGACAACG